CAATGTCACTTGTAGACACAGTTCTCCTATGGGCTCAAGGCAGGCAGCTTCCCACATCAGTCTGCAGCTCTATTGGTCTACTTCATTAGCCATTAGAATACTTAACAGCACAATTTACATACAAGAAATATAATTAAAATAGCAGCCGAGCCGTTGTCTTGTGGGCGGATTTCTCATATCCAAACCACAGCTCATTTACACACTGAAAAATAACCAGGATCATCCTAGAAGAAAAGCACAGAGTGCTCAACTTTGGTCATTTTCTCATCTCAAAAAAAGCTCTAATTCCCAGAAATTATAGTCTACAACCAAGGCACCTGATTGCAGCAGCAGCAAATTATTTTAATATGCAGTTATGTTAATGAACAAGAAACCTAGTATAAAAACAGGTTTTTGCTGTTATGATTAGGGAAATCCTTATCATTAAAAACTACCTCAGAAGCATATTAATGTAGATAATTTCAACAAATCATCACTTGTATCCTAATCAGATTAAAAAAAAAAAAAAGAAAAAAGAAAAAAAGAAAAAAAGAAAAAAAAGTGCCATTTGTGTCTGGATTGTACAAAGTATGCTTGATTTAATTAATTACCAACCCTGTTCATTAGAGTCCTCCAGGACCTTCTTTTAATAGAAACCTTGCTCTGGAGGACATCTTTTTCCTTTCCTGCCATTTCTGTGACCCTCGTTCCAGTGCCAGAGAAACCAAGGCACTTGCAGGTGTAAAAAACAGGAGCACTGTGGCACCTGTTCCTTGTGCCAAAAGCAACTAAATCTTTTAAGCCCATGAGTTTCAGCCTTGCTTCTCTTGCATATGCATAGCGCCTCCTGACAACTGGAGCTGCATATGTAGAAATATTTCAGAATGGAAAGTTCATCAGTCTTCATGAACTGCACTTTGAGAAGGAAGAAAGACTTTCCACTGTCCAAACCTCCAATGAATCTGCTATATCAGTTACTGTGGGGGCTATCTGTGAGCTTAAACAACCAAAAAGTTACAGATTGTGGTAACTGTGATGCAAACCAGAGGCAACTGTGATTGCAAAAGGATGACGGGGGCGGGGAAGGAATAGCAGAACTAATGGCTAAGGCGAAGGCATTCATTCTCTACCTAGAAGGGGAAGGTTAGGTTTCCAGCAAACCTAGATTTGCTCATCAGTTCCTATACAGCCTTGCTGAATTTTGAAGGAGGCTAGATTTATCAACAGTGCAGAGTTTTCCCATGTAAATGCTGCTATTCGTACTTCGTATGTAATCCAAAATTAACAAGGTTCCATCATATTATATGTAGGACAGAGATACTTGGAATGCATCATTTCTACAGCAAGCCTACAAAACATGAGGTCTAATGATTTATTGTCACATGCCTTTCTAATTATGTTCTGATTTTCTGTTTCAATTGCTAAGGAACTAAAATCAGGTTATTGTAAAGCATAGGTATATGCTTAATTTTGTAATAAGCCATTGAAAATGAAATTTAAAGAAGAAAAAAAAAATCCTGATCTTCTTTGGGATGCATCCTTCCAATTTTTGTCTATAGAAAACTGAGAATCCCTTGACTGTGCAGCTGCCACAGGAAAAAATAGTGTCATTCCCTGGCCTGCATTAACCTTGACAGAGATTTGACTGAGTGTACTGATTATTAAAACATTACCTTTTTCACAGTGGTGTGGGATTCTTTGTTTCTCTCTGGTTTCAACCTGAAGCAATCCAAAATACAAAAAAACCTGTCATATATGCTGAGATAGAGAGAGAGAGAGAGAGAGAGATATGTGCACACATATTATGAAGAGTTCTTTTTCAATGCGTTCACATTTTCTAGGAAAATTTTTTTCCTTTAGACTTTATTAATGATGGTATGTATGAAAATCAGTCATTCTTTGAGAAAGTAGGAGTGGCCAGGATATAAGGATCATTTTGAAATACCACTATTTCAGAAAGTGCAATAATGGGTGTGAAACCCCATCTCCACTTTGTTCAATTTCTTTTCTGTTATTAAAGCTTATACTGCATTTTAAAACCTCCAGAAATGTGGTATGTGTGGAAGAAAATCATATATATAGTACTTTTAAATTCAGCAGTTCTTTTAGCACAGAGACATATTTACTGTTTTTGAGCTCGCTTACTATAGCTACAGCAGCTGTTGTTAAAATTTGCTTTTAGCAGAAACTTGAGTTGATTTTGGGAGAATATCACCATGCATAAGTTCGTAATGTTGCTAGAAATAGTAGCTATTTTTCTTTAGGAATGAACAGAGATATTCCACATTGTTTCTCCAAGAAAATCTTATGCTATTACCCCACCATAAAAAAAAAAACCAACCCAACAAAAAACCCCACATCCTTTTGCTCTTTTCTCTGTCAGAAGAGACATATCTTCAAGAAGATTCTCTTTGCCGTACATGTTTATGCGTTTGTGTATGTGAGAGACAAATAGGATTTCTGCCTCTGACACAAGTACGCCATGCGGTACGAGAGACTCTCAAGCACGTGCTTTCAGCACACAATAACTAGTACAGATGATGAATGCAAAACTGCATAGTGCTAATGGGAAGCAGAATAGTAAACTGCCAAATAAAAATTACCTATTTTAAATATCTACCAGCAATCTTGTGATGCTAATTTAACTGAATTGAAGCTGTAGACTAGTCCTGCCAGAATCATTAAGTCCTTTCTGTTCTTCCCAGTTCTCTATCAGAGGCCCTGCTGGGGTCTAGAGTACGATAAAGGACACAATCTTGTGTGTGTGGATCAGGTCTTGTAAAATGACTGTGACAATTTCAGTGTACTTACAAAGTAGGAGGTGTTTTTCAGGCATCTGGACACATAATATGTTTTCCAGGGAAATGACAAACTTCAGTCAAATTAAATATGATTAGATTTTAACAAGGAAAAGGTTTTATTGGAAGCGAAGAATGTTTCATGCTATGCTGGCCTCTGTTCCTTCAGTATTTCTTACCCCTGCACCAAAGAAGAGACTTTATCAGGAGAATCAGATGTCAAATGACCTGGGTGCCTGCCATCCATCCCCATAAATTCAGAGAGAGCACCTAACAATGTGTAAACCAGATTTGACAATTCATGATTTAACTACCACTATAAAAGTAGTTAAATAACTAAAATACATATTCTTCCTTTTTTCCAGTTGGCTTCCTGTCCATTTTATTCTTGGTCTACACAGAATTTCCTACAAGGAAATGTACCATATGGTAGCCAGTTATTAAGAATTATTGTTACTATAGGGAGAATTTTTCAATTTTGCACATAACCTTTTCTGAAGTTGTGCAATAACTCTGTTCTTGGAATTAAGTTGAAGTTTCTTGTAGTAGAATGAAGAAAAATGAAATCTTAAACAATTACACTCATTTTTCCATGTGTTCCTTTCTAACAAAAAAATCTGTCATCTTTTTTAGCCATGTCTTAGAGGGATCTCATTCTGCTTTTGTGATTTAGGCATTCAGGATGGGATTTACAAAGCTGGAAATGAAGACACTGAAGGAAGCTCTACAAACTCCTTCAGTTTTAGTGTGATGTAGTTATACAAGCTGACATGTTTTAGGAAGGAATACTTTGTTTTCAAATTGTTCTGTGACAACAGGAGCAAATTAAATTCACAATGTTTCAATGTACTGCCACTATTCATAAGCTAGTAAAGCACCATTACATGACACAAGATTAATAATGTCATTTTTCAAGTAAATTAATGACTGAGTTGACATATGTGATATTTAAAGCCTTATTGGCTTGTAGAGTTGTAGAGTCTTACAGTCTAAAAATATGCAAACTGTTTATTGGGGAAAAGTCAATGCTGGATCAACCGTGCCCTTGAAAATATTCCTCAATTTAATTCATTTGTAATGATTTCTTAACCAGTACCTCACTAGTCCTCATCCTGCAGGAATAACAAATTAATTGGCTGACAAGGAACAGCTTTCTCCTGGACATGGAAATACATTCATCTGCCAAATAAAATACAACTTTCATCCTCATCTTCTTGATGAACTGCTTAAGAAACTCCTTCAAGTACTTTTCTTGTTCTTTTGGTGAACACACAAATTTTTATTTTATGATTTCAAACCCCATAACTTTATGATGGTGTTCCAGAAAAGTATGTAAGTTCATAATTATATACTAGAGTGTATGTACAAAATAGCTGCATATTATAGGGATTCAGATTTCCTTAAGGTATGGAGCTGAACTGTGCTCCAAGCTGTATTGCAACAGACAATACAAGAGGCAACTCTGTTGACCTCACTGTTTTACTAAGAAATTTCTTCCAATAAAAATGGCATAAATAGAGGTTGATGCTATTAAAATGAACAGTCTTATAAAATGTGCCAGTGTGAAAGAAATGTGAGGCAGACAAGAAAGGTGAGACTTTTAAATGCTTCCATTCACAAGTTGTCCAAGGAAAGTTATGCCTAGTGTGAACTTTCATTTACCATCTTACAAACAATTACATATCCGTTGTATGCAGTGACACTTGCATGTATTTTAACCTTCTTCCAGGGAAAATAGTTACTTCCTTAATGCTTCTGCATCATCTCAATCACTTCACCTGTATATTGCTACAATAAGAATATATATACCAACACATTCAGCCTTCAAACTAAGAACTGATTTTATGGATGTGGATATATAACATATTCTTCACTACCTGTTTAAATTACCCACAGTCTGATCCTCCATATCCAAAGTCACCAAGTATTTTGCTTTGATATTTTTTTCTGTATGATTCAGTTCTTCAGTGTTTCATATTTAGTAGCCAGTTTTAGCAGATATTTAGTGTTACTCAGGTTAGACTTGGACTGTTCATTAGGAAGCTCTGGGGACTGTGTTCTGTGTGTAGCTGTGTAAACATCCTGGGGAGCAGGATTCCAGGTTTGGCTTGTGATCTTCAGATGCTCAAGGTGGATTGCTAGACACACATGGTGATCATAAGTTTCCCAATAGTGTTGGTTATCTGTAACAGGCATTTTTCTTATTTGCCCTTTCTAGGAATTTGTCATGATTGTTGTCTTTGGTTTGGAATTTATTATTCGTATCTGGTCTGCTGGATGCTGTTGTCGATACCGAGGATGGCAAGGAAGACTGCGCTTTGCAAGGAAACCATTCTGTGTAATAGGTGAGTGTCCCAGTTCTAGGTTATTTTAAGATAAAAATAAATACCCTGCTTCTGTTTTGCTTCTGAATGAAAACTACTGGAATCAGACTGTTTAGAACTTACTAGAAACATAAATCTGTAAACAGTTTGAACTTCCTAGAAGCATTTGACATCTCAGAGTGGTTTGCTGCTCTCTGAGATGCTGTTGAGTAGAAACACCAGCAGATTATTCAGTTCAGCTTTTGTTTCTCTTCCCTTTCCCGTCTCCATTGAACTGGCAAGTTTTCTGTCAGTGATTAGCTTCAGTCTGAGGTGTTCATTTGCAGCATAAGTGAATGGAGGGGTTCTTCCTTGTTCAAAACTTTGCTATCATAGGGTGACAGAGGTAGATTTTCCCCCTTTCCTTTAAATGGTTCATAGCTACCCTCCTACTATTTGTGAAATAGTTGAGGCAGGTCTCCTGGCACGAGTCTCAGTGGGTGTAGGGGTTTGCCTTACTTTATTATGGTTTTTCCTCCTTTCTCTGGAGTTCACCTGCTTTTCTAGTTGCATTTTCATGTAGGCAATCTCTAGTTCCTAAAAGTGTCTTCTCTGTCCCCCTTGCAACTCCATCACTTGCTAGCAGAACTAACTGGTAGCTAACAGTCTTTTGCTTGTGGAAGTCTTCCTGTGCTGGTTCAGTGGATGAAAAAGAAACTTCATTCTGCAAAACACTGTACAGCTACTAAAGTAGCTTCTGGAAACTAAACCAGTAGCATTAATTATTCTGTGTCCCTCCTGCTGATTGATTTTTTTGTCCATTTCTGGACTTTAGCATCCCTGAAGGGATTTTGATCTGATCTTTTGAGGAAGAACCTTTAGCAAGTAATTTTGCAGCTCTTCGTTCATTAACTATTTTTCTGACACCTTGGCTTCGCAATCATGACAAAGTGTGCCCTAGCAGGAAAGGCCAACAGGCTGTATGTATTAGCTATAGAATCATCATCAGTAGATGAAGACACATTATGTCTTCCTTTACTTGGCACCTATTAGGCCACATCTAAGATGTTGCACCCCATTTGCCCCCTCCAACACCATACATGAAAGACATCAATAAACAGGAGTTCAGTGAAGGCCACCAAGATGATCAGTGCTGGAGCATTTGCCCTGTGAGGAGAGGCTGAGGGACCTGGGCTTGTTCAGCTTGAGAAAGAACGGCTTCAGGGGGAACTCTGTGAACTAGTGTTAAAGTCTCGTTAAAAGCACCTGGCAAATTTTGACCTACTACTTTTCATGCATTTGTTTAATTATTTACTCACTCATCCATTCAGTTATTCTTTCTGCTTTTTGTTACAGTGAAACAATAATATTTTAGAAAACTTAATTTGTTTACTATTAATTAAATTTGCTATATATCTCCAGCCGATCTGTTCTCTGATTATTTTTGTGATCAAACACAAATCACACAGGGGAATGACCTAAGAGCTAGAAATAATAAATTTGAGGATTGCCTCAAGGGTCACATTCAGGCTGCCTTTATTTTTTTTTTCCATTAATAACCTAATCGCTAGAAAAATTTTATTGAGGGCCAAAGCTCTGTGCTTATGTTAGTGTGCCTACAATGTCACTAACCCAACAAATCAGTTCATCAAACATTGCTGTGTGCTACCGCGTTAGTAATGATATTAAATTATTTGAAAGCTTTGTAGCCTTGTTTATTTCTGTATAAAATGGAATAATAGTGTAGTATTAAACCTTGATTTATATTTTGTTCCATGTCAGGAGTTACGTGCTATCCCTCATTTTCTATGAGCTTGCATACATAATGTAAAGGGCATACCAACATACCTTCCCAGATACTTAATGTACTTAAAGATGTACTTCTGCAGATCCTAAATCTCCCAGGTATATCAAGTCAAGCTTGGCAGTTAGCACTGCAGAGAAATATTGCTGTGTTATACTGCACAGAAAAGTAGCAATCCAGGCACCTCATCTCGTAACTGCTGCCTCCAGGAGCCAGGGAAGCCAAGGTCCAGGGAGAACTCAGTGTCTGCCTGTGCCTTAGGAGGAGCCATGCTCACTGAACAACCCCAAGATAAAAGAGGACATAGCTGCTAATGAGGAAGAAAGTATGGCAACCACTTCCTGTCAAGTCATTCAGGGACACTGAAATAAATGAAGAGTCTGTGGTTCTTTCTCTGGCGATGGGATTCCTACATGGGTGCATGTGACCTGACTAAATAAAACTTCTGTCCACTGTACTGTGCATATGAGAGGTTTTACCACTCAGTGAAACCTCAGTCTGTGAGGGTGGCTCCCGTGCAGTGGTGCATTATAAAAATAATGAGGAATAATAAGTAACAAGGTGTGGGTCAGAAGAGTAAGATCCTGCCAGTCTCACCTGCATGTCAGAAGTCTGCTAGACTTTCAGAGGAACTTCTTCTTTCCACTGACCTTGTGGGAAACTTTGGGACTCCTACGTGAGGAAGCTCAGCAAGGGCAAGTGAAGAGCACATGAGCATGCTTCCCTTGGAACACTGGAAGTAGTGAATTTTAGAACCTAAACTTTATGTAACTTCTACATTTAAATATGGGTGTTGAAGCTCCTAATTCAGATTTTTTCCACCTTAAATTTAAGCCCCCTTCTAGTAATATAACATTTCTCCAGGGCAACTAAACTTCCTGGTGGTCCAGCCCAATGAAAGATTTAATGTATTTCGGTTAGTCCATTAGCAGTTTCCCCACAACAGCTTCTGTTTTACCTCTAGTCAAGCTACAGCAAGATGGAAATGTCACAAGTTCAAATTCTATTGAGGCTGCAGAATGAACAAATTCCCAACAGGAAGCTTAAGTCCATTATCTGTAATCAGGCTCTTGAACTTCATGGCTGGCAAACCTCGTTTCAGAGCATTAAGTGATAGCAGCGGCTATTGCATATTACTGGATCTATTTTTGATTAATTAGAGTGGTAATGAACCATCATATGGCAGTTTTGTCAAACTTTTATAAACAAATCCGTATCTAGTGTGTTACAAGATCTGCTGACCCCTTAATTTGAATTAATTCAATATATTTATGTTATGATACATTTTGTCTGTCACCTTGGTATTTAGACACGCTATAGAGCTTAAATACAGACAGATAGTAGATCTGCTGCTCATGGTAAACAATATATAGAGCCTCTTTCTAGTATAACATGAACTCTAAATAACCCAGTGATGTTTTGCAATTAAGTATATCTTTGACCAAGGAGACACATCTCACATCACATCTCATTACAAATCCCAGCAAAACCAAGTGCCAGCAGAAGCAAGTTATACACTGAGGGGGTCTCCTGCCAGCCCAACTTGAACTCATCCCAGGAACATGCTGCCCACTTTACTCCAGAAAATACTCTGATAGTAGTAGCAGCATTAAGGCTGGAAATGGAAATTTCCTCAGATGATTTCAGCAGCCATTATTATGTGTAATGAACAGAGGCTAAATCAGTTACAAATTGGGTAAGTTTTTAATACTAGTATTTAGTATTAGTAGCATAGCTTCATGTTTGACAGTTCTGGCAGTACAGTTTTTAGAAATGCATAGGAAAAATAATGTATTTTGAGTATCACCTATGGGCCTTGTTCTTTCACATTTACTTTTGCAGACTACTTCCCTTGCTGCTGAGTAAGGTGCCACTTGCTAAAGACATCAGGTTCTAGTCTTCTCTTTCTAGAAGTTGCATGTCTGCTATTCAAAAGAAATCTGCTAGTTTTGTAGAAGGCAGTTACTGAAATTTCTTTCTGGTGTGTGCTAAAGAATTCAGCAGACTGTATTTATTTATTGGCATGCTTTTTTGACCTTATACTAGTATCACTACCATGTTATTTTGAGTAGAGGAGCACCTACCATGAATTGGGCAACCTGAGTGATGCGTGTCTCATGACTTCTTTCCCACGGGGGAGCTGTGGGTAATGTCACATTTCATCTTCATGAGACTTGGAGATTGAGGTTTTGATCTGAGGGGCTGAGCTTTCTTTGCATCTATATTCTGTTTCTCTGCTGAGATATCTGCTGATGAAGGAAGTCAACAAGGCTAGTGTAAGATTCCTGATGAAATCATTTTTCCTTGAAAAATATTGATTAACTGAAAACAAAGTAATTCATGGAAGCAAACCAGTTCCCTTTTCCTGAGGAAAGGCATTTTATATTCAGTCTAGATCTTTTTCTCATCAAAATTAAAAGCACACTGTCTCTCAAACATGCAGTATAGCAAATAATACAGTTTCTGGTTTCTAGTTAAAGTATGGTTAAATTCTTGCTCTGGGAGATTTGGAGCAGAACCAGTCTCTCAGCCCCACTGAAACTATCCAAACATCAATAAATAATACTTAATTGGTCCAGACAGAAATGCTGATTTATCCTGTCACCTGGTGTTAATTATAGTCATCTGCTACATGAGAAACTTTGATTTTTTTTTTCACCCAAAGGATAATCAGTCATTGTAAATAGACAATTCCTGCAGTACAAATTAGAAGAGATCCACACTAGAATGGATTCTGTAAGTGATTTATGGATTCTTTCAAATAATTGATGATCTCTCATTTTTGAATCTCAGGGAATATATTGTATAATAATAATAATAGAGCTTGATATTATTAAGTACTATGTATTATCAAATATTATATATTATGAATGTATATTAGAGAACTTCCAGTGCAGCTTATGAGCCACACGGTTTCAGTGACTTGGAAATGTACAGTAAGGAAGCCCACAACTGGCAGACCAAGAAACAGTTAACATCTGGTTTTAGACATGGCATGTTCAATTTTGCCCACATTTTTTAGGGACTGGCTTTAAAATTGTTGCTCCTAGAGATGCCCAGTATATGAGGATGCTTATAGAAATACCTTTCTTTTCTAATTTCTTAATTCGAGATGTTCATAACCTGCCTTACTATGCTGAATTCCCATCATATCCATAGATGAGATCATTGCTCAGATTTCCATGCATACATGTAAATTCTCCAGTCCAAAATGAAGTAATTTAAGTAAATTTAGTTG